CATATAAACTCGTGTGATTCACATATGAACTAATTAACTGATTCACATATGAACAAATTAACTGGTTCATATATGAACCAGTTAAATAGTTCACATGTGAACATATAGTTTATATATGGATCATATGGGTTCATATATGAACCCGTTTGCCGTTTGTTTGTAAAAGTTATGAAATTACCCCTCCATCTTCCGCATACCCATGTGAGGAGTCTGATGCTTCATGGTCAAAGTCGCAAATGTTGACCAAATGAATGAGCGAGGATCACTTATTTACTTCTCAAATATTTACCACTTCTCAAGTGAGCCTTTATATTATATATATATATATATATATATATATATATATATATAGCCTAATCAAATGAGAACTGATTAGTTTGTGGTAACTGTGAGGTCCAATCTCAATCACAAATCAACGGATAAATTAAGAAATTAATAATTATGGTAGTTTGAGTTAAAATTATAATTAGAGGGCATATTAGGTATTTTTTTAAAAACTCCTATCTCCTCTCTCATCTCTCCAACCTCCAATCTCCGACCTCCGGTGAAATCGGTATCACAGTATATCACAATGGGTATCAGATTGTGTATTACAATAGGTATCACATTGTGTATCTTTGTTTTTAAGGTTTGAGTTGRTATCATAGTTGGTATCACAATGGTATCACATTATATCACAATGGGTATCACATTGTATATCTTTGTGATTACTTGGTACCTACCGGATTAATATTCATCGGAGGTCGGAGAGATGAGAGAGAAATTTTTTAAAAATACCTAAAATGCCCTCTAATTATAATTTTAACTCAAACTACCATAATTATTAATTTCCTAATTTATCCGTTGATTTGTAGTTGAGATTGGATCTCACAGTTACCACAAACTAATCAGTTCTCCCTTGAATGGGCCCCTATATATATATATATATATATATATATATTAAGTATTAGACTTGGGATCAAGTGAGACTAGCTTGTTTTTGTGAGACCAACTTTTTACACTTGAAACTTTACAGCAAAATGCTGTGAAGGTAACCTTCACAGTGTTTTTGCTGTGAAGGTTCGACTTTTTTAAACTTTCACAGTGTTTTTACTGTGAAATTTCAAGTGTAAAAATATGGTCTCACGGGTCTCACGAAAACAGTATGGTCTCACGTGAACCCAACCCTTAAGTATTATATAAATTCATTTATTTGTCTAATTATCTTTTGAAAATCCTAAATTATGCTCGGATCATTTTTTTTTTTCTAATTTCTATAACTACTATTGATTCATTAGTACTCACAATCTATTGAATTCATCTTCAAAATCGATTGAATAAAAATTTGCGTTATAACTATACCCAACCCCGACCGACCTCAATCTGAAACTCGTCCAACCCAAGCTTAAATCAACTCGAAATCCGAAACCCAAAAATTGGGGTTTGGTTTTCATATCTGAAATTCGATTGAATTTTTTGTTTGCCCCAGGCCCGCCCGACCCATCCGATGCACACCCCTACTTTAAAGACTTTCATTTCATGCTGATCCATTCCTCTTTTACCATCGTTCGACTGTTCGAGTCTCTGGTCATCAGGATAAAGAAATTATAATTTGGACATTGTGATGACACACCCAGTATTACACCACCCTTGTTTAACAGTCATCAAACTGTTTTTTCAGTTTCGTTTGCTTGTTGCTCATGATAGACGTTGAGTTATTACTTTCGAATGTTTTACGCAAAAGCTTTACATCATTATTATAAAAAACGCAGTTCACCTGTAAATCTGTAATCGAACATTGCAAACAGGTCCTCCGGTTGACTACAAGTCTTCGTTATAGATTTGGCTTGATTAGTCATGGGATCCCCAAACATACATTGACTTCAAATTGACAAATGTATTTGGTACTGAAGTTTTCAGTTATTAGATAGTTGTCTTTGTATTCTCCACCCCCCCATATCTTGTCAATTTATTATAAACAATGTTTAATGAATACAGTTGGGTATTGACCATTCCCTTATCAATCAGTATTTTGCATACCTTGAATAATTTGGAGGGTGTATGAGTTTATTTGTTCTATTTGCTGTATATAAATATTACATGCTTGTTTTTACTTAATATATTTAAAAAACATGTTCCATTTTAAAACCAATTTTAATTAAATTTTGTTATTTCTAGTAGGAGTGTGTAGAAAATCAACCGATCCGATTGATCAAATTAGAACCGACTGACTATAATTGGATATCCAATTGTAATTGGATCGGATCATATTGAAAATTTCAACATATAATTTAGATCAGTCGGTTCTCGAATGACAATATAAAACCCATCAAAACCGATCCGAACCGAACCGATCAACATCCAATTACCCATCCAATTAATTATTCGATGATCATCCAGTTGTCCATCCAATCATTATCTAACTATCATTCAATTAATTTATTTTCTAATTGCTTAAATCGGACTTTGTTTTATGCGGGGGTTTGAATTTTTAACTTCTCTTGTGTTGATTTTAACACACATTAAAAGTGATTAATTAATTTGTATCATTGTTAGAGAATTTGATTGAATTAACACACTGGATGGATCAATTCCAATCGAATCATCTATTGGATATTCGATGGATATCCAATAAAAATATTCAACGGATGGAACTGGACCGATCCAATCATCCATTGGATTGGATTGGATCAGTTAACCAATGTTGGTCGAATCGGATCGGTTCGGTTCCCCTCACATCCAATGGATGTCAACCGATAAACATGCCAAATTTTAGAGCAGTCCAACTCCTTGGATTGTCTAATTATGATGTAATATAACAATTAAAATAAATAATAATATATAAATTAAAGCACTACGTTATGCAGTATGCAGTATGCACAGAGCTAAATACAGTTTCCGACTTCTTATATCGTAAACTATGCATTTAGTTCTCGTGGTTTGTTAAAAACTGCCATTTTCATTTATTTATTTTTTATTTTTATAATTATAGTTTATAGTATATTTTGTTTATAATTTCATTATTTTTTATCGTTCATATGGTTTACAATTTATTGTTGTTTTCGTCCACGTATTTAACGATAAATCACTGACGGATCTCATGAACGAAAACAACAATAAATTGCAAATTATATGAATAAAACCATAATTTCGAAAGTACAAGGACTAAAGTTGCAACATTTAAAACACCACAGGGACTAAAATCGTAGTTTACTCTATTTTCTTTCTCAATGGTGAAGTGATCGATGGGAACTCCACCGAGCACCAGGGTGGTGAGGTTTACATGGCCACCGTCACATTTGTGTTCGTTTGCCGCCGTCTCCGGCCTCTCAGATTGGTTTCGTAACATGGTTTTGTTACTGATTGATGTTTTCAAATGGACATTGGATTTTGCTCAAGGCGATTTGGTACAGGTTTGCAGGATAAGGTCGTGAATGTCGTTGATTTTGAACAAGGGTTTAAAGTTACATCTCGCAGTTTACACCTATGATCGGCGAATAATGCTTTTGATACACCATAATGCACTCAAATTTGGCATGGATGCTGAGATTATGGTAGAGATTTATCAATCTAATTGATAATTTTGACTAAAGTTTTTGTTGATGTTAAATGTTTGCAGGATCTTAATGATGAATCATTCGAGCCAATTGAGGTCCCTCATAATACTTTTTTATCGTGTGGTGTATATACGATGTTTTGCAAGATATTGATGAAGATGATTTGAGTGTTAATCTCTAAGCATATTAGTATGGTTTATTTGTTTGTTTTTGTTAATGTTCTAAATGTACCGATGGGAAGAAAAGGGTAGAA